GGGCTGATCCCTGGGCTGAGCAGCAACAAAGGAGGTGGGTGATACTTAGACCTTGCCTTCAGGGAGCTCCTCCACCAGCTTCAAGACATTGTTTCCAGTTTGATGAGAGCCCCAGTCCTTTCTCACTTCGTGGCTCTGTCTCCCTTAAAAAAATGGAGAACCCCTCGGAGGTACTGATCACAGGCTGCCTGGCACAGGCTGGGCTCCCAGATACCTGAGGCTGACCCAGGAGGCAGACTCAAGGAAGGCCAAGCTCTGGAAGCTCAGACCAAGAGCCAGTGTCCAGACACGCTGGACCCCAGGCTCTGCAGAGGTTAGTGGGGACAAAACTCCAGCGATGGTGTGTCCTCACCAGCCCCCCGACTCATGCCGCCTCCCTGACACTCCTCAGGTCAGAGCTACCCTGCCCTGGAGCGGGCCCCGCAAAGGCGACTGCAGTGGACGTGGCTGGGCCGGGCAGAGCTGCAGTTTGGGGACCAGACGCTGCATGTGTCCACCTTGCAGATGTGGCTGCTGCTGCATTTCAACGAGCTGAAGGTGGCCCAGCTCCCCCACGCCTCCCTGCTCTCGCAACCTATCCGTCCTTTTTCTTCTCTCCACCCTCTCTCTTCCCTGCCCCCTCACCCTGGGAGGCCCTGATGCTTCCCTCTTCTTCCCAAGGCTGTCTCTGTGGAGAGTCTGCTGGCACTCTCAGGGCTCCCTCCAGACGTGCTGAATCAGGCAATTGGGCCTCTGACTTCCTCAAGGGGCCCCCTGGACCTTGATGAGACAAAGGACACCCCAGCAGGTCTGTACTTAGGGCACTGGGGCCTTGTGTCCTGAGCTGGAGCCAGTGTCTTCGGGGGACCTCTGTCAAGTGACCAGCGCTTATTTCAGGGTTGCTCAAGATTCGAGATGGCAGCGAGGAACCCAGGCCTCGGAGGGGCAATGTGTGGCTCATCCCAGCTCAGACATACCTGAAAGCTGAGGACGAAGAGGGCCGGAACTTGGAGAAGAGACGGAACCTTCTCAACTGCCTCATTGTCCGAATTCTCAAAGCCCACGGGGACGAGGGGCTGCACATTGACCAGCTTGTCTGCCTGGTAGGTGGGGGTGGGGGGTGGGTGAGGGGCTTTGCCGGCTGGGGGGCAGTCTCCAGGAGGAGATGGATCCCCATGTGAAGTCTTGGGCTCACTGTGGACCCTGTAGGTGGCTGAGGTTGGGCCTCGCTGCCCTTGGACTGGGGGCTAGAGGTGGGGTAAGCTGGGCGTCCCTGATCTTTTTCCCCTTCGGTGCTCCACACCAGGTGCTGGAGGCTTGGCAGAAGGGCCCGTGTCCTCCCAGAGGCCTGGTCAGCAGCCTTGGCAGGGGGTCCACCTGCGGCAGTGCTGACGTCCTCTCCTGCATCCTGCACCTGCTGGGCAAGGGCACGCTGAGACGCCAGGATGACCGGCCCCAGATGCTGTCCTACGCGGTTCCCGTGACTGTCATGGAACCTCGCACCGAGTCCCTGAACCCAGGCTCCTTGGGCCCCAACCCACCCCTCACCTTCCACACCCTGCAGATTCGCTCCCGGGGCGTGCCCTACGCCTCCTGCACAAGCACCCAGAGCTTCTCTACCTTCCGGTAGCCCTGGAGACAGGGTCAGGGCTAGGTAGGGCTGGGGCTTTCCACAGAATAAAATGCAGGAGTTCGATGACTTGGCCCGTGTGCTAACTGCCAGGGGTCTGCCAAGGGTGGGGACTTTCCTGGCTGAAAGGAGACAGGAGCCCTCAGCTCCGAGGCTGAATCATGCCACGCCGGGGGCCTTTGGGTGAGGATGGCAGGCTGTGTGGGACTGAGCACCCCCTCAGCCGGGGGAATTAAGTGGACTCCAGGGGTGGGCCTTCTCAGAAGGTTATGTGGTCAGAAGAGCTTTCACGTGGCAGGCTGGAGAGTCAAGCCCATCTCGCTACGAGCTGGATGGCTTGCAACTTCAGCAGATCATCAAGCAGGGATCTATTTTCCTTGTTTGTGGAACTGATTGGACACTGTGCCTTCCGGAGCTCAGGCTGATGGGGGAAGGTGAGATAAAGGACCCTTGTGGCCACTGCAGGCCCCCAGGACCTTAAAGTGTTCCACCTGGAAGCTCTAGGATCTGGGTTAGAAGGAATTGCTGCTCCCATGGCTCATCCTTGCCCCTGTCCACTCCCGCACACCAGTAGCCTTCCCTGCCCTCAGGACTTTCCATCTCTAGGGCACACACTCCCAGGCTGTGACTTTTGCTTCCCTGACCCTTATAGCCCTTGAGCTGGTTTGCACACCAAGGACCACATAATGATCCCATTTATAGTCCTGTCCCCGAGTCGGCCAGTCTAGAGACAGAATGTGGTTTAGTGGTTGCCTATAGTTGGGAGGATTGGGAAAAACTGAGGAGTAACTGCTACAAAGTATGGCATTTCTTTTGGGGGTGTTGAAAATGTTAAAAAAATTGTGGTGACGGTCACTCAATTCTGTGAATATATTAAAAATCACTGAACTGTTAACACTTTAGATGGGTAAAGTATATGGTATGTGAATTGTATCTCAACAAAGCTGTTAATAAAAACCAAAACCAACCAAACCAACCCAAACTGAAGCTCAGAGCTTTCCTACTTCTCCTCTGCCTCCTCCTTGAAGGGAGAATGTAGCAGTTTGGAGGTTGGGGGGGCCAATACAGCCTTGTGGTGGACATGTATGTTTTCAACCAGCCTTCACCTGAACCCCCTTCTCATGCTTGGAAACACCCTACCACAAACCTAGAAAGAAGGTAGAATTCACTTCCCACCACATGAAAGACCAGACACTTGCTTTCCCAGCATCCCCCTTGCAGGCAGGTGACTAGAGGCCCCAGCTGGGAATGTCTCAGTCTAGAACAGAGGGAAGTGGAGTGAACCTTTGGTGGCAGTGCTGACATCTTCAGTGATTCTGGTTCTAAAGTAGGACCTGGAGTGCTTCTCACTGCTTTGACTTTATCCCTCACTCCTTTTTGGAGCTTCTCTCCAGCCGCCTTAGTGTTCCTGTGAGCCAAGCAGTTCAATAGTCTTTTTCTTTTATCAGCCAGAATCATGGCTTTGGCATTAAACTAGGATTGATTCACGTGACAACTGGGACTCTGCAGTGCTCCCTCACTCCCTCTGGGCCAGGCCAACCATCCTGGTAGCTACAGCCTTCATCTAACCACCAGTGGAGAAGCACATTTTATGCATTTCTTCCCTCAGAACTGCATCCTCTCCCCGCAATCAAGCAATAAGTCTTAGTCTCTAACTCCACCTCTTCCTTTCAGGCTGCCTTTTGCTACTTTTTTGCCCCCCTCCCCCCACCAGCAGCACGTGGGATCCTAGTTCCCAGAACAGGGATGGAACCCATGCCCCCTGAATTGGAGTCACTGTGTCCCTAAACACTGGACCATCAGAAAGTTCCTACAGCTGCTGCTTAGATGTCAATCTTTCTCATGTCCTGTAGTTTCTGTTACTTATCTAGGTTCCCAACTTCCACTGTCTGTGATTAACTGATCTTCCTGATTCTTAGGATTTATAAATTATCAACTATAGAAAATTACCCTCTCTCCTTCTGGAACTCTTGATTTGTGTCACATCTCCTCACTCTCTCCTCCAACTTCTTTAACCTCTTTCCTTAGTTTCTACGTCTCTGTCCCTGAGCTCCATCTATGTAGCTTCCTCACATCTACTTCCATTTCATCTTCCCTCTAGGTGTGCCTGATCTGCTGCTAAACCATAAAGTTTCTAATGTCAAATAGTGTATTTTTCATTAAAAAAATTTTTTAATCAAACCAATTTTGTCCTTTTTGATACATTTTTTTTCATCAGTCATAGCTCTTCTTTAAACATAAATAAGACATTTTATATTTTTGTATTTTACATTTCCAAAATCTCAGACTTTGCTGGTCTGATTCTGTTGCCTGTTATTCCTAATGACTCTTACTTATGCGTTGTTTTTTTTCCTTTTGTACCTTGTTTTCACTGTAAGCTCATATTCCTTGAAATTTTATCTGAAGGAATTCCTTGAAGTCTGGGTTTAAAGTACAATCCTCAAGACAGAAATGCATTTTGGGAATTCCCTGGTGATCCAGGGGCTCAGACCCCACTCTCCCAAGTTAGACCTGGCCAGGAAACAAGATTCTGCATATTGCAACTAAGAATCTGCGTGCTGAAACAAAGACCCTGTGAACAGCAACTAAGACCCAACACAACCAAAATAAGTATTCTAAAAAGAGAGAGAGGAATGCATTTGCTTCTGCCAGGTACCTGGAGGCACTCCCAACCAGAGACCACTTTAAACTGACTTGTAGTGTGAAAAATATCCCAGTCCACAGGCAGCATGAATTCTCCACCCAAACAATACTGAGAGCCAGCTACACTTACCTATCACCAGGGACACTTTCTGTCCCCACCTCCTACCTCCCCTTGCATCCAAAACCAAAGCTAAGAAGATGAGCTGTGGGATTGGGTCCCTCTTTGAATGATGGTGTCATCTGTCCGGCTGAAGGAGGAAGGGGCTTTGATTTGACTTCCCACTTTGTAGGACCCTTAGGTTTACTGCCCACCCACATGTGGCCCCTGAAACAGTAGTTCTAGGCCACCCACAAAAGCAGCAGGATAAAAAGATGAGACACAGAAGTGTTTATGAACTGGCTCCTGCATGAAGTCCCAGTCCTGGCAGCCACTCACAAGCTTTCAACCAGCCTTAAGGTCCTTTTCCATCTATATCAGAATCATTAAGGCAAGGATGGGAGAAGGACACAAGGACGATGACCCAGATGCAAGCAGAGGAACTGTGGCATGGCAGAAGGCTCAGCTGCTCCTCCTTTTCAGCCCTCAGGCAGTCCAAGAGGCTTTGAGTCATCTCTGAGCTAGTCGAGTTCCAAGGCAGCTGTGACCCTCGCCCTTGAATGGGAAAGAACCAGAACAGGCCAAGCACAAAGGTGTCCCCACAGATGCACTTCTCACTGGGGCAGCAGCAGAGCTGAGCACGGCTCCTTACTACTCTTTGCTCAAAGGGAGATGCCGTCTGTCCTTGCCTGCATTTCGGCGCCTCTTTCGACTCAAGAAGCTCTCTAGCTTCTTGCTTCGTTTCAGCTCCTTAAACTTCTCAGCCAGGACCAACTGGCGCTGCTCAGCTAGAGGACAAGGAGAAAGAAAGTCAGTAAGCAAAGGATGAAGTCTCCCTGCCTCCCCCTGCCCCAGGTCAGTAACTCTCAACCACTACACAGGGATGTGTGACTCGTCAGGAGTTCACTGGAGTGTAAGAGCAAGCTGACTTCCACAACTCCACTCTTGCTCAATTCAACCATGAGCTCCTTCTTTGTGCCCAACCCAATATATGGGGGGGGTGTGGCAAAGATAAGTGACACTCCCTGCCCACAGTCTCATTAGGGATATGAGAATGGTTATAAACAACTCCCTACTACTATTATTTCTGAGTGAGTGAGTGAAGTTGCTCAGTCGTGTCCGACTCTTTGCGACCCCGTGGACTGTAGCCCACCAGGCTCCTCCGTCTATGGGATTCTCCAGGCAAGAATACTGGAATGTGTTGCCATTTCCTTCTCCAGGGGTACTTTCCTCTAAATTACCATGGGATCTGGCCTTCACACCTCCCTTAGGCAGCTCCAGGACCCCCAACACAGTATCCGGTCACTATGGCCACCCAATCTCTGTCCCTGTGACTCATGGGTCATAGCTGGGCCCCACTCACATTTCTTCAGGAAGTATGGCCGATGGCCTTGCTGGGCCTGAGCCCGCCGCTCCTGCTTCAAGGCCAGGCGTAGCTCCTGCTGCCGCTTTCGCTCCTTCTGTGCCATTTCTTGCTGCTCCTGAGGAGCCGAGAGGGGTGAGACAGGTGAATAGCAGGGACTGTGAATCACCTCCCACCCCATACTCTGACCTTCTCACCATTCGCTGAAGCAGCTGCTGTAGTTTCTCATGCTCCTCCCCTGAACGGCGCTTCTTCAGCTGCTTTTTCACCAGCTCCACATTGGAAAATGAGTATGATGGTTAGCATTCTGTACATGTTAGCTGAAACTTTGTGCCAAGCATCATTCTAAGAGGTTCACATACATTAACTCACATTAACACTATGAAATGGAGCTATTAGCTTTTTGTGATAAGGAAACTGAAGTGAAGAGGTTAAGTATCTTGCCAGTGATCACACAACTAGTAAACTGATTCGCCCTGCTCCCCTCTGCCTCTCTAACCTGTGCTCCAGTCCCTCCTGGAATCCTCACAAACCATGCTGCCGCTAAGTCACTTCAGTCGTGTCTGACTCTGTGTGACCCCATAGACGGCAGCCCACCAGGCTCCCTTGTCCCTGGGATTCTCCAGGCAAGAATATTGGAGTGGGTTGCCATTTTTTTTTCCAAACCATGCTACTCACCTCTTTCTCTCTGGCTCGGATGTCATCTAGGAATTGATATGTTTTATCGAACACCTCAGGATTATACTCCCCTGACAGATCATCAAAGCGGGGGTCCCGGGCTACCTTTGCAGAGAACAGAGAATGTAAGAGAACAGTTCCGCCTCCTTTCGCTGAGAAAATGCTCACTGCCTCCTCCTCACCTTCTTACTGACGGGGACAACCTGTCGCAAAAATGGCACCCGGACCTTGGCTGACATCTCCAGAGGCCTGTGGAGAAAGTGAAGGACAGCTCAAGGGAACTCCAGTCTCGTTAAAGGCCCCCACCTGCCACCCGAGAAAGCAGACACCTATTCAAGTAGGTGTCTTTCCCTCCAGCTCCCGGGAAAGGCCTTGCTCCTCACCTGTGCTTATCTGCAACACATGCTTTTGGGACAGGTGGTCTAGAACTCTGCTTCTTAGTGCTGCTTCCTGTTACCAATTGTTTGTAGGCTTTAGTCCCCACTTGACTCTGCAATTCTAACAGCTCCTCAAATGACATGTGAGACGTGTCTGTGAAAGGAAAGTGTGGGTTGGGGGGAGGGGGGACTGCAACTCAGCTCAGCATCTGCCACTGCTGCAGAGACATCGTCCCATCCTCTTTCCTTAGGTAAGTGACCCTTTCCAATATCCCCTTCAGACCAATTGCTGCAGGCTCCAGGCAACACAGGTTGTAATGGTGCTCCACTGACACCTAACACCCCAACTGTTCCAGCTATCTGGAGCCTCACCTTGCTAAAGAAGGTGTACATATAAGGCTGGAGATGGACTAACCCACAGTCTCTTCTTTTTCCCCTTCTCTTTTAAATTTCCCTTTCACAGGTTTTCCCCACAAAGACCTTTGTCTCCGTTCGTTGCTCAGCTACCCTTATTCTGGTTCAGTTCACGCTCAACATCTCACCTCACTTAGTGCTCTAGCCTCCTTACTGCTCGCCCAACCACCAGTCTCACTGCTTTCAAAGGTATCTCTCAACTTCAGCCTCAGTTGTTGGTGTTCAGCCGCTAAGTCATGTCTGACTCTTTACAACCCCATGGATTGCAGCACACCAGGCCTCCCTGTCTCTGTTTCTCTGCATTTGCCCAAGTTCATGTTCACTGACCATGGGAGAGGTGCCTAAAAGGCAAACCTGGGGTAGGGGGTAAATTGGCAGACTGCGACTGACATATACTATTATATAGAAAAGAGATAATAAGAACCAACTGTATAGCACAGGGAACTCTAGTCAATACTCTGTAATGACCCATACAGAAAACAATTCAAAAACATCGATATATGTATAACTGATTCACTTTGCTGTACCCCTAAAACACTATATTGTAAATCAACTATACTCCAATAAAAACTGTTTTTTTAAAAAGGAAACTACTAGACACACGAAGTTTTCACTTTAAATTCTTTAAATAATAAGTTTTCTTTCCAAAAAAGAGGCAAATTGATCTTATCACTCCCACCTCATTTCCACATACATAATTTTTAGATCACTTACTCCAGACTCAGTACTCCCCAACGGCTTCCATCTTACTCAAGACTAAAAGCTCTAGGCTTTGTAATAGCCTGAAGATCCCATGTGACCTATTCCATTTTGTCTCTGATCTCTTCTACTATCTCTTTCCTATTCCTCTCCAGTCAACTGGCCTCCAAGCAGTTCCTAAGCAAAAAGGTATACTCCCATCTCAGTTCCTCTGCACCTGACTTTGCCTCTGCCTGTAACACTTTCACTAGCTATATTGCTTGCTCCCTCACCTTCTTCGCAGGGTTTCTCAAATGCCACCTATTCAGTGAGGCCTTCTGTGACTACTTAAAACCATAACCCCTCCCGTTTTCTCTTCAAAGCTCTAAACACCTTTCTCAAAAACTGTAGCACACTAAATTCATATACCATAAAATTTATCCTTTAAAAATATGCAATTTCTTATGTTTCCATGCTTTTTAACCCCCCAAAATGTAAGCTTCATGAGAGTAGTTTTGGGCTGCTTTATTCACTGTTGTATCTCCAGCATCTAGAATTAATGTCGGCGAAATTTGTTGAATCTTCACCTACTAAGCCTTCCCCAATAATTAATGCCCTTCTGACTCTGCTTTGGAACATAAGTTTTCTCCCTGCGAAAAACCCTCTGTGCCCTTTAAAAAACTACTAAGTATCCTCTCTTACTCCCCACTTTCTAGTGCGTTGGGGGGCGCTCCTGGTGTCTGCGTCTTTCAGACAACTTCGCAGTCTCAGGGTGAGCCCGCACGCGGAGCCCCTCTCCCGGCCCTCAGCGCTGCCCCTCGTCCCGGCACCGTGCCCTCACCATTCTGCAGGCCCCCGTCGTCCTCTCCGCCATCCTGGGCCCTGCTGGGAGACCCTGCAGCCGCCCCGCCACGGGAGGCTGCTCTCGGCATGGCTTGAGTGGCGTATCGAAGACTAATGTCGTTACTTCCGCCACGGAGTCTCCCGCCCCGCCCCTTCCGGAAGGCGTGGTGTCAGCAGCGCAGATCCCACCTCCCACTGGGCCGGGCGAGCGGGTTGCTGGTGGGCGGCCGGGGTAACCTCCCTACGCGGAAAAGGGCGACCCATCGACAGAACGTCGCGCTACACTCCACACCGGAGAAATTCCGGCCAGGTCGTGGTGGTATTTGGTTTCCTAATACTCTTGGCTGAGAAGCCAGAGCCTCAGCACCCTGCCCCCACTGTAAACTCCTGCCATCCCTGTCGTATTCCACAAAAAAGAGATCACACGTTTGGAGATTTTTAATTCATTTGTATAAAATTTGAGCTGGCTGAGAGTGTCAGGGTACAGCAACAGCTCAAGGAAGGATGGGATTATCTGCTGGTCCTCGCCTCCCCAGGTCAGGGAGAAGGAGATTTCATGCCAACAGCTGCAAATCCTTTCAGTTCGCGATCAATGCCCATGGCTCAAGCAGGGGGAACAGGTGGAAAAGGGAGTGGGGAGGGGAAGCTCCTGTGGCTCACACACTGCTTGCTTCTCCCTCCTTCCCGTTCCCGTCACTTCCCAGCAGCCTGTGGCTGACCTGGGGCAGAGCAGAACCCAGGAGCAGTTGGAGGGAGGTGAACGGGACAGAGCACCAAGGGGAAGGGGCCCTGGGCCCAAGGAGGAAGGGACCTAGCCCTTCCTGCTACAGATCCCCACTAAGTTCACAGCACAGAAAACACCTCTAGTCCAACAACTCCACGAGGAGGTATACCAAGTCCAAGGTTCAAAGGGGCAGACGGGGGAAGAGATGGGCAGGGGCAGTGACGACAACAGCAGGCTCAGGAAGGAAGGCGGCAGAGACATCCTCCTACCCATGGGAGGAGACGATGGGGCGACTGATATTGCTGTTGGTGGTCATGGCATTCAGCTCCCACCTGCAAGGCCGAAATTGACAGGCAGAAAGTAGAGAAGCGGGAGCCTCCATCCCCAAATCCAGAATTGCTCAAACAGAGCAATGAACACACCAATCCCTTCAACTTTCTAAAGTTCAGCCACCCACAGCCACCTCTTCCTTACAGCCCTGTTAGGTTTAACAAACAGGTCCCACCCACCACCAAATCCACTACCACCCACTCATCCACCTGCAAGCTCCTGTGGACTTCCTGTTTTTGTTTATATATCGATAGTCTTATGCCCAACACCTGGAGAAAACCATCTATGTATACGTCTCAATGAAACTTCCCAACCTACCTTTCCTCCTCTGCTCAGATCCAGCCAGGAAGCCCCTCCTCCCACCAGGAATGCCGGGTTTTGTTCTCAACTCCCATCCTCATAATGCACCCCCTCCACCCATCCCACCATATTAAGATTCAGTTCCTCTCTTTTTGACAATGGTCATTCTACAAAATTTCACCAAGTACCTCCTTAAACCAAAGCTATAGTCTACTTGGTATTAGGCACTTGAGACATGTGTCAATCCTGGGCCAACCTGGGACCCACCTGTTCAGCCTTGTATCCTCTATCACCTGAGTATCAATACTGAATACTGAACACACAGAACCTCAGCAAGAGGAGTTAAGCTGAACTGATACAAGGAGAGGAAAGTTTCACAGAATGATCCAGAAGAGTACAATTATATACAAAGTAGCTTCCAGTGCTTGATTTAGACCTAAGAATAGAATTCAAAGCAGCTAGAAAAAACCGCCCTTATTTCTGAAATTGATGTGATCCAGAGACTCCTAAACTTGTCTTTTTTCTCAGGTTCTAAGATTTAATCAAACTTTTTCAGCACTTTAACAGAAATAATTGTATAAGCTCAGGTCTTAGGAAGTGATGCTTCTGAGCTTGGTTTGAAAACTGGATTTTTTTTCGCTATAATTTATTCAGCTGACAGTTTTACTATATTTCCTTCCAGCACCCTCTGCACAAGTAGACTACAGAACAAAATCTTCTCTCTCCTCCACACTTAGACTGAGTCAATCAGGTCATGCTTGTGCTGCCCACTCACCCTCAACTAATCCCTCCCTTCCAACCATTCACTGTACCTGATGTCATGGGGCAAACAGGACTGGTCCAGGTTGTACTGAATCACAGCTAGTTTGCACAGAGTCTTCAGACTAGGGCCTTTAAAGGGGGAATTATGGGAGAGGGAGATGGTCAAAGCCAAGGAAAGGGTCCAGTCCTGGATATCACCATCCAAAGACAGGGACCCTGATGGCAGAAGCACTGTGGGAATAAGTGTACTTACTGAAGTCCAAAATGTGTAAGTCAGAATGATCTATGAGGTCGAATTCATCCCCCAGACCTTCCTCTGGAGACGGACTGTAGGATCAAAAAGAGAAATGAAGGACGGAGCAAAGGCTACCCACGAGACTCTCTTGCTCAAATGTCTCCCATGTGAGTCATTTGACTCCTAAGGGCTCTGGCCCTTCCTGGAGCCCTCCCTTCTCTCCTCCTGACCTGGTGCCCCCAAAGAGGACAATCTTGTCACCAACAATACAGCAGCACTGGCGCCGGCGGGGACATGGCCCCTTGCCCTTCGGTTCAATCTTCTTCCAGGTAAACGACACTGAAGAGAAGTTTAAATGGAGGTTCAGTGCCTGCTGGTCCAGATATCCTCCCCACTCCACCCCTCACCTACTCAGGATTATTCTTTTCTTTTACACCCCACCTCCATGGCACCCTGTTCCTTCCCCATTAAAGGCAGTGCTCTTTACCAGGATTAAACTTCCAGAGGTCATGGAAGTGCCGGTTCAGCCTTGCGTTATAGCCACCAAAAATGTACAGCTCCCCGTTGTAGCCAACTGGGAGGAGAGAGATGTGTCAATAGTGTGGGAGCGATGAGGGGGGACAGGGACTCACAGGGACCTAACAGACACTCACAGGCTGAGTGGCTCCGGCGTCCCTCGGGTAGCACTGGGGTGGGTGGACAGTCCAGCCAGGCTTCAGTCCTCGTGTCAAAGACACGGATGCGGTTGCAGTAAATCTCATTGTTGGAATGGAATGGCCCAAAACGGTCGGCCCGGCCCCCAAAGACATACATGTGACTGCCCAGCATTGTGGCCGAGTGGAAGTCCCTCCAGCGTGCAGGGTTGCCCTGGGCAGGAGCAAAGATGGCACGGAGAAGGGGTCAGCTTTCAGTTTGAGCTCCCTATGGTTTCTTAAATTGAGGATGGGTGTCTGGAAGAGAGGAAAAAGGGCAGACCTTTGTACAGATCAGGGTCCACGTCATGGTGCTGGTATCCAGCTTGTGGATGTCATTTGAAAAGCAGTCAGCCTGATAGGGATGAGAAAGGAAGTGAAGGAAGGAATAAAAGAGAGGGGCAGGGGTCACTCCCCCACCCTCCAAGCCCCTCACCTCAGAACCTGCAAGCAAACCAAAGCCTCTCATTCCACCACCTTCAATTCCCCTTCCTCCTCCTCATCCCCACCCTAAACCTCTGGTTGCTTCCAGACCTACCAGCTGCTCGTAGCCCCCAAAAATGTACATGGTCTTGCCCAGGACACAAGCCGAATGTCCATCCCGGGCCCCAGGAACCGTTCCTGACACTCGGGGTGTTGACCACTTGTGAGTATCTGAAGAGGGCAGAGGGTGGGCCCGGTAAGCAAGCTGACCCTCCCTCCTAGACTCAGGGGCACCTCACTCCCAGCCCCCTCGGCACACACCCTTCCCAGGCCCCCTGAGGCACCATCTGGCAGAACACAACCACTCGAGACCCATACTCACTGACGTCAAAGGCATAGAGCACATTGCAGGCCCCTTCGGTGTCATTCCGCCCGCCCCAAAGGAAGACCGTGTCATCGATGAGGACGGTTGAGTGTCCATACCGCATGTAGGGTACCACGGGAGCCTGCCCGCGGGCAGCGGGCCTCACCGGGGGCAGCTTTGTCCAACGCAAGGACACTGCGGGCACAGCTCTGCTCAGCCCTGGGAGCCTCCCTTTAGGCAGTCCACCTGTTCCCCAACCACGTTGGTTTCCCCCACCCTCTTTGGCCATGGGGAACCACCACTGAACCTCACTCAGCCACCCCCTGCGCTCCCTGATGTGGGGCACCCACCGCCCACTGCCCTCCCTGATACGGGCACCCAGGGATGGTCCCCGAGTTTGCTTACCGGCGTTGAAGATGTGCACATCAATCTGGCGCAGCGTCTCATAGTCTTCGCCTGAGCAGTAGCCCCCGAAGGAGTATACCCGGTGCCCCACGGCCACAGCGGCATGGTTCACCCTGCGGGGCCCGCCCTCCAGGTGCACTGTCCACCGTAACATCCCCTGGGCCTCCGGTTACAGCAACATGCCCCCCCGGCACGGCCTGCTGCCTCCGCTACCTGCACACAAGTTGGGGCCACGGGCTCCTCAGGCGGGGCCTTTGCCTGGCTCACCGTGACTCTGCCCCGGACTATCCCTTGCCTGTAAGCGTCACCCTGGTGGCCCTCCCACACCACCCCTCCGCAGTTCAGGTGGCTGGCTCTGCCCCAGGGGAGCCGCCGAGGTCAGGGAGCTAGCCCTAGCCCTGTGTTCTCCAACAGCGCAGGGTGGGGCCGCTCTGACCTGCCTACCAGCTCAGACTGCTGAACTGGGGCTCAGCATGGTCGCCCCTCCCCACGGAGGCTGTACCCTGTTCCCTGGCCTGGCCCAAGCTCCGAGCCCTCTTCCCAGGTCAGTGAGTTCTCTTGTCTCCCTGGCCCTGCTCTGCTTACTGCCACCTCTCTAAGAATCTCTGTGCTCTGAGGTGGGGAGAGGGATCTCAAAATACTCAGAGCTATTAATAGCCCAGCCAGCCCCAGACTGTCCATTGAAAGCTGGCACGAGTGCCTCCACGCAGAAAAGCTTTTAGGCTTTTAGAGTGGAACGGTCCCTCGATCCAGGATGGGGTGGGATTGATCCAGGACAGGGACCTCCATGGATGGCTAGCCCCTCTTCGGGGGCGCTTGTCAAGCTGAGCAGTTGTCATCAGGGTCATCTAGGGCCCCTCACGGGCACGAGGAGTCCCTTTGACAGCTGTACCTGGTATCCTGCCAAGAACTTAAGCCAGAAAGGTATGTGTCTGCTGGGGACTGAGGCGTGGGGGTGGGGAGGAGGCGTTTTCTCCTCTTGCCATTTGCCCAACCTGCCCCTTGTGATAGAGAACAAGCTGTTTCTAGCAGTTCTTCTCCAATTTGGGTCCCTGAAACAGGAGAGGGGCAGGGGTGTGCAATGGAAAGGGAAAGGAAGGCAAAAATGCTCTTGGCCAGGACAAGAAAAAGACCCAGGCATGAGAAGTCATGGTCTCTTAAAGACAACCGGCCAACCTAGTGAAAATGGGTACATTTGAAGGCTCTATCAGGCAGGTCTCCCAGAGCTGGTACTGCCTTCACTGGCAGGCACCTGATGATAGGTTTGGGTGGATCATCTGCTCCCTGTTCAAGAAGCCCTGGCAGAGGGAAGCGCCAGGCAGAACCTCAGGCACCCAAAAAGCTCAAGTATGGCGGGAAAGACACATGGGCTTCAGCTGGCTTGCCAGTCCTCCACCCTTACCCAACCTCCCTCAACCCCCAACCCCACGCTTTAAATAGCTACTCTGCCAAACCTGAAATAGCCCCAGCAGGAAACCACTCTCACTTCATTACTCCTGTCCTCAATCCAAAAGCTCTTGGATCTGAGCTTAGGGGAACAGATAGGAAGGAGGTTGACGGACTTAAGAATGGGAGACCTTCATCTTCCCTCATAGACTCCACCTTCCCCTTCAGCTAGATCAAGGTAGAGCATTCAGAGGGCAAAAGAGAAGCAATTCCGTGCAAAGGTGGAGGAAAAACCCCATGGCTTCTCCTCCAAAAAAACAACTCAAGCTCAGGGAGAACAAGCCCCCAGGGTCTCAGAGGCTCCTCTTATTCCCGATCTCTCCCATCCTCCATCACTGCCGCATTCTCAAGCATCTTCAATCCCCCTCACGAACCTGCCCTCCCCTCCTATTCTCGTGCAATTTTCACTCCCAGTTTCTGGCCCTTCTTGATCTCCTGAGAGCTCTGCATTTTTTTTTTTCCCTTCTTCCTTCCCCTACAACTCCAAGCTTCACCGTGACAGCCCTTCATTTTTGCTCTTCCACTAAGGGGGAAAAAAAACCTAATATGCATTGACCCCTTTCCGCCTGAGATATTCCTCCCTGTATATGACGCTCTCCCTGTAGCCTTCCAGTCATCCCAACCTCCCCTCCCCCACAACGCCAGACACCCCCGCCCTTCTCTTCCATTATCCTCAGCCTCCCGGTTCCCTTCATAACCCGTTCTTCTTCCCAGTTTCTTTCAGGGCCTCCTGCAGCTACCAGGTGTCCCCCACCGGTTCCCTCACCACCCTCCCCTAGCCTTTCTCTCCCCATTAACACTTTCCTTTCCCATCATCCCCCAGCTCCCTCCCAGCCCCCACCGCATCACTCTCAGGCCCCTCCCCCAAGGCCCCCGCGCTAGGCAGGGGCGTCCCCAGCCCCTACAATTTTCTTTGTCCCTCAGCCCACCCCGGGCTACCTGCCAGGCCGGGCCGGGGCGGGGCCGCGGGTCCTCGCGCTGCCTGCAGCCTAGAACCCGTTGCGCGCCAACCGACGACTCCGTCCCCAACGAGATAAACACAGCCAGGCTGTGTCCTTCCGGCGGGCAGCTGGATGCGCACGTGCAGTCCGAGCTGACTGCTCGAAGCGTACCGGGACTTGTAGTCCACGGGATTCCGGTGGGCCTGGAGCTGCCGAAGAGTGGGCAGTGGCCGGAGGAGGTGCTGTGCAGATACGTGTCAAAGATTCCGGGCTTTACTGGGTAATGTAGTCCTGGGTCTGGGAGAAGGTGGTGGAGGCGGGGCAAGGGGCGGGCTCTTCGTCCAAGCTCCCGTCAATCACGAGCGTGGGGCGGGGCTGGAAGTCTGGGCACCCGCCCCTCCGCACGTCCTGCCCCGCCGGAAGTGAAGGTGCGGGTTCGGTCGCGGGCTCTGAGCGGGTAAGGCGCGCGGAAACACCACTGCGGAAAATCGGTGGGGCGGGTGGGGAACGCCGCAACTCGGGCCATCTGAAGGGAGCCCCAGGGGCCCGAAGGGCGTGTCAGGCGGTACAGAGGGGACGCCCTTGGAGGGGAGAGAAGGGGGCGGGCATGCCTAGTCCGAGGTATCTTGTGTGGCGACCCGGAGTTCCTAAGTGGATGGGGGGAGGGGACGTTCTCGAAGGGATGTCTTTTGGGAGGTGGCATGGCCTCCGGTTGGGCTGCTATTTAAAAATTGGCAGAGAAAAAAAAAAGAATTGGCAGAGAAAGGCGGGTGGGCCTCGATTAGGGGTAAAAGTGGGTTTAGGAGGTGAGGGGCCAGGACAGGCTGGGTGGTATGGAGTGCAGGAAACGCGAGGCGTTTAAAAGTTTGTGGACTTTAGCAGGAGACCACCAGGAGCTGGTTGAGAGGCTGAAGGTGGATTTCATTTCATCCAGTCCGTGTTCTCCTGCCTCCCTGTTCTTGCAGCCCCTGCCCGATGGCAGCAGTAGTTCTAGGGGGAGACACCATGGGTCCTGAACGTATCTTCCCCAATCAGACTGAGGAACTCGGGCCACATCAGGGCCCCACGGAAGGCACTGGGGATTGGAGCAGTGAGGAACCAGAGGAAGAACAAGAGGAAACAGGGGCAGGACCAGCTGGCTACTCCTACCAGCCTCTGAACCAAGATCCTGAACAAGAGGAGGTGGAACTAGCACCAGTGGGGGATGGAGAAGATGTAGTTGCTGATATCCAGGATCGGATCCAGGTATGTGGAGGAGGCATTGTTCCTGAGCAGGTGGAGCTGAAGTCCCTGAAGAACTGACCCTGAACTGTTTTCTCCTGTTATGCAGGCCCTGGGGCTTCATTTGCCGGACCCACCACTAGAAAGTGAGGACGAAGATGAGCAGGGAGCTACAGCATTGAACAGCCACAGCTCTATTCCCATGGACCCAGGTAAAAGAGATCATTCTTTTACTCTGGCATAATTATGGGAGAAGGGGACTGGTTAATGCCAATAGAGGGAAGTCTCAGAGGAACATCCTGCTCCTAAATTAATAGTTTGTAATCTAAGATTTTGTGGACTTCAGAATCCAGGTGAAATGCTATTCTTTCAGACTTGGAGGATGGGCACGCTTCCTTAGGAATAACCGGACAGATTCAATGACCTTACTAGTCCAGAATCTCTGAGTTAATTCAACGAATGGAGAGGGGAGCTGGTCCCATCGTTCCTACCCACTAACTGGTCTCTGCCTGTGATTTCAGAACATGTAGAGCTGGTGAAAAGGACGATGGCTGGCATAAGCCTGCCTGCACCAGGAGTTCCTGCCTGGGCTCGTGAGATATCAGATGCCCAGTGGGAAGATGTGGTACAGAAGGCCCTCCAAGCCCGGCAGGCTGCCCCTGCCTGGAAGTGACCACCCTGAGAACTGCCGTAACTCCCTGCATTCCAGGCCAGAACCAGCACAGGACTGAACATACCCTGGTTGTCACTCCATCTCCATCCTCCCCGGCTCCCCTCCACCATCAAGGCAAATCAGACTTCTTATCAGAGACCCACTTTATTCAGTTCTGTACATATGGGGACATCAGCCCAAGCCCAACCCACCTTAGCATGTATCACTCTGTGGAGAATAAAGCACCCTATGTACACAGCCAAAAGCTGCACTGCCTGTGCCCTTGGAACCTGGGTCTGGCCCTCCCCAGCCCCTCACCCCTCCAGGGTACCTTAAAGGGACAAATGAGGACCTGCCCAGCATCAACACAAACAAGGAAATAAATAGGTGTTGGGGGGAGCCATGCTTGGAGCACTGCTCCCTGCTTCCTCCTTCTTAGCTTTGGGGACCAACAGCACAGGAAAGCAGTCAGCCCCGGGGTGGTCCCTTCCATGTCAGTGATCCCAGGGTTGCTGCTCATCGGAGAGGGGCATAGGGTCGGGTGTCTGTTCACCCCTCCTCTCGGTCCCTTTGGGCCCTTTATCCATCAGCTGTGGTCCAGAGTCTATGCTTTTCTCCTTTTGCCCTCCCACGCAGTCTCGGTCAGGCAGGGGGTAAGAGGAAATAATGCAGCCCCATCAGCCTGCACGCCTCTGGGGCTGGGGGCCTATTTGGGCCGTTGGGGGTTGGCTCCCCTCCGGCTAATTCACTCCAGGGGCCAGTGGGGCTTGACATAACTTTGGTGAGAATCGTCTCCTGCTGCCCCCTACAGGCTTGAAGGGGAGGGAGACGACGAGGGGGGCACCTGGGCCTGAGGGGGAGAGGAGCACATTATTCCCATGTGTATTTCTCAGAGCAGCCTCAGGTAGCTGTGGGGTGAGGAGCAGGAGGGGGCCAGGCATCCCCATGTCATCATCTGAGCGCCAAGCACTGCCGTGCCCAGCCTGTCTACTAGGCGCAGGGAGGCATGAACACCTTTGGGGGAGAAGAGGGGCCACTCTGGGTGCCCCTGCTTCCAGGGCCGCGTCCCCCTCCTTTCCCAGAGCAGAGAGGCCCTGCCTTGCCCCAAGTCAGCCAGTGGGGAGCAGAGGGTGGAGGAGGGCTGGGGCAGCGTCCCAGGGCCGAGTGGGCCGTGGCCCTGCGGCGGGAGGCGAGGAGGTCAGAGGGTCTCCTGGCTGGCAGTTAGGAACTCTTCTGCCCGCTTGTGCGCCTCCAGCGCCTTGATGGTGTACACGTCCTGGGGCAGCTCGGACTTCCGCCGGAGCAGCACTTTCTCCTTCTTGATGTCCTTCAGCATCTGTGTGTGGATGTGCAGAGGGCGGGGCATGACAACCAAGTAACCCCACCATTTTCCTCCCCTTAGTCCTCAGCTCTGCGGCTCCGGCCTCCTCTCCCTCCCAGGGCTGTCTTGTCTTTGTGCTCCTACCTGCACGGCCTCTGTCTCCACCGTCCTCTTCAGAAGCTGGATGTCCTCTGCCGTGGGGGTCTCAGTCTCCATCGAGTACACGGGAGGCAGAGGGGGAGGTGCTCGGAACATGGGATACTGGGAGGAAAGAAGCCGGGCAAGTGGCCAGAGCCACCCGGGTGGTGTGTGACCCTGTCCGCTTCCCCACCCCCAGCTGGGGACCTCTCGGTACAGGGCGATGGCAGAACCAGCTCACCTGGGGATTAAGTCGGGCCAGCTCCTCAATCTTTTGCCACATCTCTTCTCTCTCCTTCATTCGAAACCGGCCCCTGGGGTGGGAGCAAAGACAGGATTTGGGTGGTCTTGAGAGAGAAGCAGGGGGGCTGGGTGTGGAAGATGAACACCCCCCAGGAGAGGCTCACTTCTGCTTCTCAGCCTTGTACTGTTGCGTGCAGTCATCAAAGAGCTTCTGATTCATCTCCATAAACAGCTTCAGGGCATTGTAGATCAGCCCGTGGATTGTCCTGTGGCCAGGAAGAAAGGTAGATAAGAGGAGGCACTCCCCTTACTGTGCCAGGGCCTCAATTCACTCTCCCACGTGGCGTCTCTGCTGAGAGCTTTCCAGTGGACTCCTCCCATCCCACCAGCCTGTGCATGCTATAAGCTCATTGCTCTGGACAGATCATGTGACTTGAGACTGGCATTTCAGGCACTTGACAAATAGGGGTCTGCCTGTCCATCCTTGCCTGAATCCCACACTCCAAGAGCCCACTCTTCCCCATTACTTCCCACTCTTCCACCCAGCACTAATGGCCTCCCAGCGCACTTGCTTTTATCAGGAAAGCTTTTTTACGATGCTGGGATTTAATACATTCTAAGAGGATCACATCAGCTTCTCACAACATGGAATTAACTCTCCAAAGCTGCAGAATATCTGACCTCAAGAAGAGATGCGATAGAGGCCACTAATCTGCTGCTGGGTGGCACAGATCTCCCACGTGGGTATCTTTTCTCCCCAGTCAGTCCCTCAAGGCCCTGTTAATATGCAGTGGGCGCCAGCCCCAGCTCGCTGAAGGACCAGGTGAGACCACTGGCTCTTGAGTCCATCCCCACCCTCCCACATTCCAAAACCAGATCCTCACTGCCCAGTGCCACCCCAGCTCCCTACTTGTTCCAGTGGCTCTTGGAGTTCCTGTAGAGCGCGGGGAACATGATGGGGAGGACTCGGGCGGCATTGTCACTTATCAGGCTCATGATGTACTCGTTGTTCCAGTAATAGAGGGCACGCTCCGCCACCTGGTGGGGACCGGCGGGACTTAGTGGGGACATGGTTCACTAGGCTGAAGCCCTGCCTCGGTCTTCTGGGAGGCCGGGGCTGGGATTTTCTGGGCCTGGGTCTCACCTGGAAATGGGGGCTGGAGACACACTTGGCAAGCTGGCGGAACAGAGGCTCCATCACTTTGCTGAACTCTGAAGGCTCAATGACATCCAGAATCTCCTCTAGCTCATTCAGAAACATCACTTCCTTGGGGCTGTGGGTCTTGGGCCAGAACTTGAGGAGGCCTACAATCACCTGCGAGGAGAGGAGGACCCGGACTAAAACTCGCCCTCAACCCCTGCCTGCTTCTCCAGGAAGCCTTCCTGCCCTCTCCCCCCCGACCCTGGTGGGCACAGCTTGGGTGGCCTTGGCTAAGTGCTGCTGTTTCTCCAGCTTGGATCTGGGTGTGTGAAGGTTTTTCCTGCTCCTTTAGAGAGGAAACCATGTCACCTGTTGGGTTACATCCCTCCTCAGCACCTGCTTCCGGCGCTGCTCAGAAGCTACCCACTGGCAAGGAGTGATGACGGGGAGAGGTGGACCCCGGGCCCAGGGGGATAGTTACCGGCTCAGTGAGGCTGCTCTCCTTCTCCAGGAACTGCACCACGCAGTATGCCAGCTGTGGGAGGTTGAGGAAGAAAGGAGGGGATGTGAGGGTTCAGAAGGTCACAGAGGTTGGTAACAGAGCCCAGACCTCAGAACAGAAGGGGAGGCAGAGAGGAATGTCGCCCTCGTTCCCTCTGCCGCTGCATCATAGCCAAAATGCTTCCCCCTCCCTCTTGTCTCTGCCCCCAGGGCCAGTGAACACCAGGAAGAAGGCAGCTCACCTGAGGGTGGTAGACACTTAGGGACTTGACCTTGTGAAGGGGAAGAAGAACCCGGATGAGGAACATTTTGTGCTCTTCCTTCAGGGGCAAGGCAAAGCCATTGATGATGCTGGGAGGAAAAGGAGGGTTGTTAGGACCAAAGGGCCATGGCCAAGCTCAATGCACCTGTTTCCCCTGCCCGACCTTGTCCAGACCTGTGGGCCCCTGCCCCACCTCTCACCTGCCCAGGATCTCCAGGAGCTCGGCAATCCCATTATGATGCTCCGTCTCATAGATGAACCTGAGGGAGGAACAGAGGCTCTCTTGATAACCCCATACCCCTCCGCCCTTCTGCAAGTCCCGCCTACCGCCCTTCTCCCACCTCCACCTTAGTGGGGGGCTTGCTTTGCTCCTGAGCCCCAGCTCCTGGCCTCACCTGTAGAAGATGTGGTTGATCTGCCTACGGATATAAGCCCGGAGCCCCAAAAACTTGCCATAGATGCGATGCAAGATGGTCTTGAGGAAGTCCCGCTCTCGAGGGTCCTCACTGTCAAACAGGTCCAGGAGCTGGGAGGAGGCAGGAGGAGAGGGGGCAGTGAGGCTGGAGTGGGGGGAAGGCCGGCGCGGGTGGCCCAGGTCCTGGCCAGGGGAAGCCCAGAGGTTCTCTGAGGTCAAAGAGGGTGCGTGGGGCCAGGCCCCTGAGAACAGTGATTCTATGCTACTGCTGTCCCCAGGTCATGTCTGGGTATGCACCCTGCATACCCCATTGCGGGGGGGTGGGGGGGTGGGCACGGGGCGGCGAACAGTAATTCTGCTGCTTTTGTGTTTTCTGCCATTTTGCTGGAAGCTTCTGTGAACACCCCGAGTCAGTTTGCAATAGACACAGCTGAAACCCAATACAGTACTGATATTCAGCAGAAGCAGCTGGGATGAGTCGGGATGAGGGGCTAGAGTTCATGGACAGGAGGGAGGGGAAGGCAGGAACCTCAAGGACTCACAGCAAGGACAAACTTTTGGTCAATGTACTTCTTGGCTATGTTTGGCTGGAAATCAGGAGACTCGAGAAAACGTAAGAAAAACTCATAGACGAGCTGCGGGGGGGAAAAGGAATATCACTTAGGGGCATTCCCCCAGGACTGGGAGCGCCCCCTTGCTGTGGGGCTCAGAGCACCCCAATGCCCACAGCGAGGCCCCAGCCGCCCTTGCCCTGGTACCTGGAGATGCGGCCAGGCGGCCTCCAGGGTGGGTTCATCTTCCTCAGGGTCAAACTCAGCCCCGGTGGGATTTGATGAAGGTGGCAGCGTCCGAAAGAGGTTCACTGAAAACTGACAGGTAGGGAGGGCCTGGGTGAGGGCTCCGTCTGCGCTTCTCCGGGGCCCCTGCCCTGCCCGCCTTCCCCTTCCCCAGCGCCCACCATGGTGACGGCCTCGGGGTAAATGGCCTCGGTGACGACATCGCGGCTGTGGGTGATGTACTCCACCATCTCGTTGAGTCCCGCCCGCTTCACCTCCTTGAACTTGAGGTCACTGAGTGGGTCTGACACAAAGTCGAAGAGGACGCAGCACTGGCGCAGCTTCTGGATGAACAGCTCCTCCCGCTCCTGGGTGGGCGAGTCTGGGGCGGCGAGGGGGGCCACCGTCAGGCCTCCTCCGTGGTCCTGCACTGCCCTGCCCCGCTCGCCCCGCAGGGCCTGCCCCTCCCCCTTCCTGCTGCCATCCTCCCCTGGCACCCCAGCGCAACCCCCCTCCCATCCTCTAGAACGTCTACCCCCCCAAATACCCCCAAACTTCCATTCTGCCGACGCCCACTGTCCCCTCGGCCTGATTCCCCAGCCCCCCTGACCTTCCCCGACTACCTTTCAGGGCAGGAAGTTTCTGCAGCTCCCGGTTCTTGCTGAGGTTGAAGCGGGAGGAGCTCTGTCGTCGCTCCTTCTTGACAATCTGGGGGCCCCCCGAGTACTTGATCTTGCTGAGCTGCGTGGGGGGCGGCGTGCTGTTGCTGGGACGCTTGTTGGATGACGGTGGCTGGGGTTGTGGCTGGGGCTGGGGCTGCGGCTGGGGCTGGGCCTGGTCAAAAGAGTGTTTCACAAGTCCACTCACCAAGCTCTGCTTCCCAACCCCGGCCCAGTCCATTGCCCCACCTCTACCACGCCCCCCACAACATCCCCCTGCCTCGAGTCCATTTATGCCTCTACAGGCCTGAGCAGCAAACAGCTGCCTCCTGCCCTGAAGGAGCCAAGGCCAGAGTCACAGGTAACTTCGGCATGTGGCCCTGGAGGGGAGTGAGTGGCCTAGAAGCCATGTCATCCAAAGTGATGCCCACTGCCTATGCATGAAGAGCCTTACTTGAACGAACACTCACTCGTGTTCTTCAAGAGGCAAAGCTAACTGATGGACTGATGGTGACAAAAGTGAGACCCGTGGCTCTCCTGCCTGGGCGGAGATGCTAGTGGTGTGTTCATGCCGGGGAGGGGAGGGAGATGTGGGAAGTGACTGAGAAGGTGCATGAGGAACCTTTTGACTAATGGAAACATTCTGTATCTTGACTGGATCGGGGAGGTGGTTCATAGCACAAATATAGGTAAAAATTCATCAAGCAGTACACTGGAGATCACGGTATTTTATCATTTACCGAATGTGTGACATTCTCTAGTTAAAAGTTAAAAGAAATAAATTCCTTCTCATGTCTCAGCAGTTTAACCTCTAGAAATGCAGTTTAAGAAAAATTCTAAATAGTAGTCTAGTGCCTAAGACTCCACACTCCTAATGCAGAGGGCCCGGGTTCTATCCCTGGTCAGGGAACTAGATCCCACAAGCCACAACTAAGCGCAGCCACATAAATAAATAAAAATTTTTAAGGGCGTGGAAATTTTAAAAAATGAAAAATCTTAAATATAAAAAAAGGTTTAGTGGGAACATACTTTTTATGGTCATATAATGGCAAATACATAAATGAATACACGGAAATCATAGAGTTAAAATTGTTTATGAAAACTACGTACTCAATGTAATCATACGTGGTTCAGCTGTGAAAAATATTTACACAGTCATAGTAATTTACCCAAAATGGATGGTAAGTATTTTGAGAGGAGGGGAAAATTGTGCAGAGGTATAAGACACTGGGGCCTTAATTTTCCACATTAGGAAGTCAAGAGATATCTGAATCTCGAAAATTTTTTTAAGAAGCAGTAAAAAAGTTATTTGGAGTAGAAAAGTCAACCTCCAAGGAAAAAGTTAGGAGTTGAATGTGGCTGCCACAACAGGACAAGGACCAGGGACAGGGCTGCCTTGCTCATTATAAGCCCAAGAGCACTATCTGGGACTTCCTGGCAGTCCAGTGGTTAAGACACTGTGCTTCCAGTGCAGGGGGTGCAGGTTCAAACCCTGGTTAGGGAACTAAGACCCCACATGCCACGCAATGTGGCCAGAGAATTTTTTTTAATTAAAAATATACATACATATATAAAGAGTACACTATCTGACTTTCTGAACTATTACCATATTGATAAAAATTAAAAACAAAACAAAAAGCCTAAAACTATAGAATGAGAGAAAATTGCTCCCTATTGCTCCCTATGCTAAGTTAAATAAGCAGAATGCAAACCTGTATATACAAAATGAGCTCACCTACATTAGAACACATGCACAGGACCCAAAACCCAGTTAAGAAAGAGAAAGAACAAGTGTACTGTGTTCATGACTATCTCCTGTGATGGCAGAATTAGAGATGACTTTTTCCTACTCTTCTAATTTTTTTTTTTATAGGCTGACACTGCTTTTATAAGACAGCTAATTTCCTAAAGCTATTTCTTTACTTCCTCCTGAACACAAGAGTCAGAGCCCCATGAAGCCCATTTTCAGAAGCACGCACCCACATGGTCTGCAGGGCTGTTCACCCACAAGTGCACCCCCTGTTGGGAGAGGGGAGACTCAGCCACAGGACAGCCCCTGCCCCCACCAGAGAAGAGATTGTGGGGGGACCATGGGAGTGAGGTCACGTCCGGTTGGGGATCCACTCCACAGGAAAGCTGTGCTCCTGTCCTCACACCCGCCAGCCCCGCCTCCTCTGCAGCCCCCTCCACAAACTCGCATTTCATAAAATAAGAATGGGGGGAGTTCCCTGGTGGTCCGGTGGTCAGGACTCCAAGCTTCCAGCCCTTCCACTGCAGGGGCCACGGGTTCGATCCCTGGTTGGGGAACTAAGATCCCACATGTAGCATAGCCAAAAAACAAACAAACAAAAAAAACTTTTTAAAATTATACTTAAAGAACAGGAGAATATGAAATTCTCTGCAATAAGGGGCAAGGAGTAAGACAAACGTTATGCTTTGTGTGCTCTTGAATTTTTTATTAAAAAAATTATCTCATGCTTGTGACCTATCTCGGGATCAGAGGCAGGAGACGAGCGCTGGGTCCAGCCTGGGGCAGGCGGTGAGTCCAGTGTAGCTCACGACCGCTTCAGCCATCTGGCCCTCTCCTCCTCCTGAAATGAACCCCAGACACCAATCTGACCAGGGGGACCCAAAGAAGTGGGGCAAGAGCGGCCACCAAATACCTCGCTTGCCAGAACTACACCGAGCCAGCGTGATTTTGGTTAGAGAGTGCAAGGCACCTTGGAGTCTGGGGTCTCTCTTCCTGTACGTGGAGGATGGATCACACCTTGGTGGAGGATGGGGGAGAGAGGCAGAAGGCCAGCGGGGCCAGAGCCTGATGTGCCTCGGACTTTCCCCACTTCAGACCTCCGTTTCTTTGTTGCAGGAACAGCCAAATCCTTATCTGTGGAGTTTGATGGTCAAGAGCAAAGACTTGGGTCTGACCCCTGATTGTACTGTTTATTAGCTGGGTAACCTTCAGGACCATCACAGACAGTCAATACCAAAATCAGACTGATTATATTCTTTGCAGCTGTAGGTGGAGAAGCTCTATACAGTCAGCAAAAACAAGACCTGCAGCTGACTGTGGCTCAGATCATGAACTCCGTATTGCAAACTTCAGGCTTAAGTTGAAGAAAGTAGGGGAAACAACTAGACCATTCAGATATGACCTAAATCAAATCCCTTACAATTATACAGAGGAAGTGAGGAACAGACTCAATGGATTATATCTGGTAGACAGAGTGCCTGAAAAACTATGGATGGAGGTTTGTAACATGGTACAGGAGGTGGTGACCAAACCATCTCAAGAAAAAGAAATGCAAGCAGGCAAAGTGGCTGTCTGAGGAGGCCTTACAAATAACTGAGAAAAGAAGAGAAGCCAAAGGCAAAGGAGAAAGGGAAAGATACACCCAACTGAGTGCAGAGTTCCAGAGAACAGCAAGGAGAAATAAGAAAGCCTTCTTGAGTGAGTAACACAAAGAAACAGAGGAAAACAAGAGAATGGGAAAGACTAGAGATCTCTTCAAGAAAACTGGAGATACCAAGGGAACATTTCATGCAAAGATGAACACAATAAAGGAGAGAACTGTAAGGACTGAAAAGAATCAGAAGAGCTTAAGAGGTGGCAAGAATACACAGAAGAACTGGACAAAAAAGGTCTTAATGACCCAGATAACCACGATGGTGTGGCCACTCACCTAGAGCTGGACATCCTCAAGTGTGAAGTCAAGTGGGCCTTAGGAAGCATTAGTACAAACAAAGCAAGTGGAGGTGATGGAATTCCAGCTAATGTATTTCAAATCCTAAAAGATGATGCTGTGAAAGTACTACAGTCAATATGCCAGTAAATTTGGAAAACTCAGCAGTGGCCACAGGACTGGAAAAAGTCAGTTTTCATTCCAATCTCACAGAAAGGCAATGTCAAAGAATCTTCAAACTACCATACAATTACACTCATTTCACATGCTAGGAAGGTTAATGCTCAAAATACTTCAAGCCGGGATTCAACAATACATGAACCGAGAACGTCCAGATGTTCAAACTGGATTTAGAAAAGGCAGAGGAACCAGGGATCAAATTGCCAACATTTGTTGGATCATATAAAAAGCAAGGGAATTCAAAACAAAATATCTACTTCTGCTTCGTTGACTACACTAAAGCCTTTGACTGTGTGCATGCATACATGTTCAGTTGCTTCAATCACGTCTGACTGTTTAAGACCCGATGGATTGTAGCCCAGAAGCCTCCTCAACCCACGGGATTCTCCAGGCAAGAATACTAGTTTGGGTTGCCATGCCCTTTTCCAGGGGATCTTTCTGACCCAGGGATCGAATCCATGTCTTCAGTATTGCAGGTGGATTCCTTACCGACTGAGTCACCAAGGAAGCCCTTTGACTGTGTGGATCACAAAAAACTGTGGAAAATTCTTCAAGAGATGGGAATACCAGACTGCCTTACCTGCCTCCTGAGAAACCTGTATGCAGGTCAAGAAGCAACAGTTAGAACTGGACATGGAATAATGGACTGGTTCCAAATTGGGAAAGGAGTACATCAGGTCTCTATATTGTCACCCTGCTTATTTAACTTATATGCAGAGTACATCATGTGAAATTCCTGGCTAAATGACTCACAAGCTGGAATCAAGACTGCCAGGAGAAATATCAACAATCTTAGACATGCAGATGATGCCACTCTAATGATAGAAAGTAATGAGGAACTAAAGAACCTCTTGATGTGGGTGAAAGATGAAAGTGAAAAAGCTGGTTTAAAACTCAGCATTCAAAAAACTAATTTCATGGCATCTGGTCCCACCACTTCATGGCAAATAGATGAGGAAACAGTGGAAACAGTGACAGATTTTATTTTCTTGGGCTCCAAGAAAGTCCACTGCAGATGGACTGCAGCCATGAAATTAAAAGACGATTACTCCTTGGAAGAAAAGCTATGACAAACCTAGACAGCCCATTAAAAAGCAGAGACATCATTTTGCTGACAAAGGTCCATCTAGTCAAAGCTATGGTTTTTCCAGTAGTCATGTATGGATGTGAGAGTTGGATCATAAAGAAGGCTGAGCACTGACGAACTCATGCTTTCAAACTGTTGTGCTGGAGAAGACTCTTGAGAGTCCCTTGGACTGCAAGGAGATCAAACCAGTCAATCCTAAAGGAAATCAACCCTGAATATCCATTGGAA